ACAAAGCCGCGGGAGAGCTGCTGGGAGAGTGAGTCCTTGCCATAGAGGCCCCGCCCCGCCTGGGACCCCGCCCTCCAGTGGCCACGCCCCCACCCAGACCACGCCCCTAACCCTGCACTCTCCCAGGTACACCGGCCATAAGAACCAGCAGTACAAGCTGGACTGCTGCCTGAGCGAGCGCGACACGCACGTGGTCAGCTGCTCCGAGGACGGGAAGGTGTACTTCTGGGACCTGGTGGAGGTGAGCCCGCCCCAGCCCACCCCGTACCCTGGCACCTGCCTCGGCCTGGCTGGTCTTCTCAGTCACTCCCAGGGTTACCGAGCAAGTGATACTAGATAGTCAAGCTGGGTTTTTTGGATTTTTTCCTTCTAGTTTTCTATAGTATGTGTGCATTCTCCGGATTTCGAGAGAGGGAGAAGAGCACCCCCTGGGTGATGGCCACACTGTATTTCCTTCTCCATTCTCCTCTCGCAATCTTTGGCATTTATGCACACACCCCTAGTCTTATTTTTTAAGCCGCCAGGTCTGGGGTTTGAACCATGCCATCGGCCATGTGGGATCCAGCCGCCTTAACCTCCGTGCCACCTGCTGGCCTCCACTGAGCTGAGATCTTGAGCGAGGAGTGAGAGAAGGCAGGGAAGGCATTCCCGGCGAAGGGAACAGCCTCTGCTAAGGCAGGGAGGCACGGCACACCTATCAATCAGGAACAGGACTACTTTGGGGTCTTGGGGACAGCGGCAGCAGGATCCAGTTGGGGGTTGTCCAGGTGGGGCCATGGATGCCAGGCTGAGTCACTGGGACTGGCTTGGGGCTAAGGGACCTGCCAGTGGCATGTGACCCCAAATAAGATGAGACTATAGCTCATGAGGAAACCAGAGCCAAGAGCGAGCAGCTTCCCTGGGTGGCTTCAAGCACCGAGCCCCGTCCTTGGCTTGTCTCAGCCGGGCTGGGGACGCACTGTCTTGCTTAAGATGTCAGGGCCAGGGAGCCCCAGGAGAGGCGACGTCAGCATTTGGGCTTGGCCAGGGGCGCTAAACGCCCTCAGAGGATGGAGGGACAGCTCTGGAGTGAGGTAGCAAGAACTTTCTGCTTGTGCCAGCTTGCCATGGGCCCCATAAACAGGAATTCCCCTCCAGGGTAGGCACACGCAGGGACATTTTCAAGACGGAAAGAGGAACCAGGGCTGGCTCGACCATGCACAGCCCTCGCAGGACTAGGGCGAGGGAAGTGTGGAGCCCAGGCAGCAGCAAGAAGGCAGCAGTGGGGTGGCCGAGAAGGCAGAGGATTGGGGTCTCCAGAGAAAGACTCCTGATACTTTCGATGATGTGAGCACCTGGGAGGACGCCCCCTACCGCAGCTCGCTTTGGGGCCAGTCAGGTCTGCAGCACGTGGGAGGCAGTGGAGAGAGAGAACCGGGGATGGGGACGCAGATACCAGGGACCTCATCCGGCCACTGATAACCACCACCCTCCTGCCCCTTGCTCCACAGGGTGCCCTGGCGCTGGCCCTGCCTGTGGGCCCCAGCGTGGTGCAGTCGCTGGCCTACCACCCCACGGAGCCCTGCCTCCTGACGGCCACCGGGGGCAGCATCCAGTGTTGGAGGGAAGAGGCCTATGAGGCAGAGGGTGGGACAGGCTGAAGCCAGGGGCACCCCCAACCAGGACCAAGGACAGAGACCAGACTCAGAAGGGCCGGCTAGACCATTTATTCCAGAGACGCTGCTGACCCGGGGGGGGCCGGGCTGGGTCTGCAAACTAATAAATAGGGCTGGGGAAGCCTCCCCGGGCCACGGGCGCTCAGTCCTCGTTCTTCTCGGGCGTGAAGGCGTCTACTTTCTGGGCAAAGGTTTCGGCCACGAGCAGGGGGAAGACCAGGGAGGCATCGGCGTATACCTGCAGAGGGCGACTGGGTGAGCCCTGGGGCCCCGGGGCCACAGCACAAGAGGCCCTGCACCCAGCCTGGCTTTACCTTCACGGGCTGTGCATCCACCCGGATCTTGCCCCAAGAGACAGCCTCGTCTGGCCGGGCCCCCGAGTCGGAGCCGTCGAACTCCTGAGCCGTGTTGATGTAGACGGCGTAGTCAGCGCCGTTCCGCTGTGGGGAGGGGTGCAGTGGGTCGGTCATCCGGACATGGACACCAGGTCACCAACCAGCGTTCAGCACATGGGTCACAGGGCCCACCTGCCAGGTACCAACAACCTTCCCATCTCCTCAGCCCGTAAGGGACAGCTCCCAACTCGGATTCAAAGACCTCTAAGCGCAACCACCAGCCATGGTCCCCACTTGATCCCCCAAGAGCCACCAGAGGGAACGTGTGAACACATGACTCTGGTCTCCCAGCTCCCCAGCCTGGTGGGTAGGCCAAAGTGTACTGGAAGCCACATGGCCAGGCCTGGGTCTGGGTCCCCAGGTCAGCCTGCAAACACACAGGGGGAACACATGGGTGCCCAAGAGCCAAAGGAGCTGGGGACAGAGGTCACGGTGGGAGGAGACCCTATCGGGTCCCATCTACATGTATATATATATATGTTCTCTATAAATGGAGTAGTTAGGTCATTGGACTCTCACATGGCAGACCACGAGTCCCAGGGCTGGTGGCTTCAAAATCACACTGGGCTCCTGAGTTTCTGTGCCTAAGATCCTAGCCGGAGAGTGGAGGAGAAGGGATTGCAGCGTGGCTAATCCCCCCGGGGGTGACTTCTCACTGTCCTCAGTGTCTCTGTCTCCCTCTCTGTGTCTCTGTCTCCCTCTCTCTCTCTCCCCAGTAAGAGCACATGCCCTAAGGCCAAAAACTTTAAAAACAAAAAAGCATGGGAGGGGAGGACTGGTTCTGTAGCCCAGTGGTTAAAGCAGCCAGATCCCACATGGCTGACCATGCTGTTCAAGTTCCAGACGCGGTGGCTTAAAAAACATGGCAGGCTGGGGCCAGCAGGCGATGTGATGGTTAAGGTGCTGGACTCACACATGGCTGACTGTGGTTCAAGTCCCAGGCCTGGCAGCTTGCTTTCTCACTTTATCTATATCTATCTCTTTCTCTCTGGTCAAATTAAAAGATAAATAATACTAACAAAATTAAATAAATAAATTTTTAAAAAAAGTAACAAAAACCAAAATGAACAAAGGAAGAAAGCCAGAGCCCTCCCGGGAGTTCACAAGAGTCGGGATGCTCCCTCCTGGCTCTCAGCAGTTCCACACCCCACCCCACTGACCTGGGCCCTCTTCCTGGAGGTAACCACGTGGCTTGTGGGAGGCACCTCTCCAAAACGTCTGCTTACAGATCCCATTTCTTGAGTCTCCTCGGCCTCCCTCTATTTTTAAATTTGTGTGCTTTTTGGGGACCAGCAGTTAGCGTTATGGCTATGTCACTGGACTCCCATTTGGTCGACCGCAGTTCGAGTCCCGGAACCGGTGGCTTAAACTCATGCCGGGCACAAATGCGTACGTGCCCAAGATCCCGAGAGGAGAATGGAGGAGAAGGGACTGTGGCGTTGCCATCCCCCTGTGCGGGATGTGCC